CGTCAACAGAGCGCTGATGTCCTTCGATTTCTTACTGCTGGTGATGAATCGAGCTACGAAGAGCTCCATCAATTGTTTCCAGGACCTGACGCTCTCAGGAGCTAGATTCTCATATCATCTCATGTCTGTGTCTCCTAGGCTCATGGAAAAAATTCGACACAACACTCTTTGGTCAATATCGTAGATTGACATCAATTGTTTGCATTGCCGAAGGTGGCTCTCGGGATCGATTTTTCCATCGTAGATCTTGAACCGTGGGATGACAAATTTTTTTGGCATTTTGGCCCCCCTGATAACCCAAATGAACAGTGAAATAACTTCATCGAAATAGACTTTGGGCTCATGGTTGTGATAAGCGGCGAAGTGGACCATGGGATCCTTTTTTGATCTTTCTTCTCGAGGCCTTCAAGGTGTGGACTCCGCTTGTGACTCGGTGGCGCCAACATCCTTCGATATCCCTCGATGTAGGTCCCACCGGGACAGGCTTGCCTTTTGGCCCGATTTTGAATTCCCCTTCGAGGCCGAGAGCCCATCTTAGCGATTACATCCCTCGGGTGAATGCCTAATCCAGTCTTTCCTGGAGGGCCTATGCTAGGGAGGCCTGGAAAGGTTTTGGCTGGGCACCTGGTCCCTGAACCCGCGACTATGCCTGCTCACGCTTGCTGACTACTCAAAATCGTCAAGACGCCACTAGACCTTGGCATTTTCCTTCTTAAGCTACTTAATGCGTTTGCCCATCCGCTTTTTCACCATCTCAACGATGTCATGGGCAATGAGGTCAGGCCCCCTAAGGCCCTGATCCATAGGGAGCGTTCATTATGAAGAACGCTCCACTTCACCTAATTGGCCCAATGGACCCGGTTCCAGAACCATTGGAAGCCGGACAGGCTCTGCGTTCCTTACACGTACACTTGCACCTTCACCCTGAGATCGAGTGTTCACCATCAGATGATCACTACCGGGAAAGATACCTTCGCTTCCCACAGACGGCGCCAAATTACACAGAAAAATTTCTGCAATAGTTTGAGACAGCGATCTCCCAGTTGGCGAACCTGAAACAACAGGGTCAAAAAAAAGGGGCCAGGTAAGTACCCGGCTTATTCCCTCCGAAGCTTAAGTCAGTCTAAGGTCGAAGGATTTAGCTCAATAAACCATTTTTTTTTGTTCAAGTTTGCGTACCTTTGTCCATTTTCCTGAGAAATATTTATACCTGAATTAACAATGATTGTCAAAGATCTCTAGTCTCATCTGGACATCTTACATCTGATACACCATTCCTCGTGCAATGAGTGTTTTCTACTCACGTTTCCTCCTATTAAATGCTAGAAAGATAGGATATATGCTCGACCAAATGCTGAGCATTTATGTCCCTCCTCCGAGTACCTAAATCCCCTAGATCGGCATCTGACATCAACTGAGCATTGAATACTCGGGGGAACATTTCCTCGGGGGGAGCCGATCGCGTCATCTCGATGCATCAGCCATTAATGCTTAGCCATCATGACAGTAGGCCTAGACTCCCAGAGTGTAGGTGCTTGCAGGCACGCATTTATTTGTCTTGTCATTATTACTCATTTCACCATAAATGAGGGGTCACATCGCATTAAATACGATGTCAGCTGTCATACTCGGCTGCTCCGTGTCACCATACCTCGGCTTACTTCTTTGGCGCCCTTTGGACATCCCAGCGGCTTCATTATTCCACGTGTCAACCTGGGGGCTATAGAGCTATCTAGAGTTCCGCCAAATACCATGTGAAGCTTAAATCTAATGTGGATGCACTCATTTCTTTGCAATTCTTTTGCTTATTTTTAAGAATTATTACTTATTTAAGCATTGGAGTGTCTCCTACTAATCTACCCCGATAGCCGACAATTTACTCATTTTGCAGATAAAAGGTGTTGTTCATTTGTGTTTCTCAACAAATCAATGCTCTGACAATAATTTTCTCAACAAAGCAACGCTCTCAACAAAGCAATACGAGGTTTTTGGCCCTGACAATAATTTTTTTAGAGTAATTAACAATTTTTTAGGACACTTATGATCGACCCTATAATTACAGAATCAATCTCGAGGTAACCCTAATTGTTGTAAATGATGTCTAAAATTTAAAAATGGCCATCAAAATTTATAAATGACTCTCAAAATTAATAAATAACTCCCAAAAATATTAAATGATCCTCAAAATTTATTTTAAAAAAATCACAAAACTTGTGCACGCGGTACAATATAGAATTTTTTTTTGGGTATTGTAGTTTTCTCCCTCTTCTTCTATATTCTTTTGTAAATATTACTAATTTAGTAATGAGAGGAGAAAGTTATTAAATAACAATATGATAAAAATTGGATCATTTGCTTTTTTTTTTTTTGAGGGGACATGCTTCCTCCTTTAAATTAAACATCACTAACCCTTCACTTGCAATATAGTTATATCCATTTAGATGGTAAATGGGTTGAACCATTAGACTTAGGTTTAACAAAATTAATTGCGATTTGATTATTCAACATAAAATTAGTGGGTTATTCAACATAAAATTAGTGGGTTTAAATGTTATCTCAACTATTTTGAATACTAAATGGGTGGACCAATCTAACCCGCATAATAAATGAACCATATTTGGATGTAGTACTTCAACACGGTTATCACCCACTGACCCATTTAATACATTGATATATATTACTCTCATTTACCACCCGATTACCTATTTATTAGTTGATTACTCATTTAATAGATAACCTAATTTTTTGTAAAAATAGGATTTTTAAATAAGAAATTTTTGCGCTATAGAATTAACGATTAACACTGGTCGAGTCATGTAATAAGTTTAATAAACGAATCACATTCAATTTTATAATTTATACCCATTAAATAAACAAGTCATATACATATTAACTGAATTTTTACACAAATTCACTAAATTCAATACTATTGCGAGACCTAATTATACTAGTTAGTGAAAGGAGGTAACACCAACTAAGCTAATCATGTTATAAATCCGATAAACACGATTTATAAACTATGTGGATTTGACATGGTATCAAACTATTATGGACAATCTTTGACAATTTTTTAAACTTTAATAGGGCATAACTTAAAAACAAGATGCGACTAATTTACAGTACTGTGGGAATTAGACAAGACAATGATCTCTGCTTTCCCCAAGGCTTAGCCCAGCTATAGAGAGGCCATATGGTTTTTAAGACTCAGATTGGGCTTACCGCTAAGATTTGGATAGTGTTGTCAACTCTCACCTGTCTATAGGAACCAATACAATTCGATTTTAAAATTGATATAATTATAAAATATACATAATAAATTATCTAAATTAGTTTTAACTGTGTGGATTTGTGTGTATTAATTTGTACATCTCATGATCAAAAAAAATATAATTTAAATTAATATTAATACTTATAACACATTAAATAGATAATTTTTTAGCTTTCCACCTGCATGAAAATTTTGGCTATTGAAAACGGTCAAAGTTATGGTTTAGTTTTTAAGAATGCATGAATGGAAGTCTTCGTCTTGGTGTTTCAAAGTTTCAAAAATTCATTGTCTTTAAGGTGAGAATCTCTACGCATTAGAAAAGTTTTCATAACCATAACTGTTTTAGCAGTTTCATGTAATTACCCACATCTGTGGCGGCATTTGTGTGTGTGTGTTTTTTCTGTTCTAAACATTGCACACCACCAGTTTGTGGAATTGCTTAAGTGCGTTGAAGCACCTCAATGTGAGTGAGTGTACCACTTTCCCGAATTGTGAAACACATTCATCAAGAAAAAACTTGGCACTCATGGTTTTTATATTTGTTTATTTCCATATTTATGTTGATCATAATCATCATTATTAACTTTCGGTTTTGCCATTTCTCTTCTGTAATTGCTTGGCTTTGTCAAAGGCCACAATGTCTACTAATTTAATTCTTATTTATCATTTCATGCGGTGAAATGGAGTTTGTGCTAGTGATCCTCTTTATGTAATTCAGTGAAAGCTATCATTAGATTCTCTTTTCCACTTAAAACATTGCCAATGGATTTATTTCAGTTTTGAGATATTGATCTGTTTTGGGTTTATTGTACATTTGGGGGACATATCTGAGTTTATTGTACATTTGGGTTTATTGTACATTTATTTCCACTTGGCTAGTTTGGCCATTTTTGTGCAAGAACTATTGGTTTGAGAAAAAGTTGGTCACTTTTATGTATGGAAGTCTCCACAATGCCAAAAGAAATATTTCTCCATGAATCTAATTCTTTTGGGAGGTCCCCAACTAGCACTCACAAAGATGAAGCTCAAACGTGTGTGCGCGCGGACACATTCTTTCATACAAACACACACACACACGTGCACATGTTCATCATGTCTTATGCTTGTCTCTGATATGTTTTAGAAAATAAATTAGATACCCTGCAAGTTGATTAATTAGTAGTTGATGTGTACATGGCTATTATAGATGTGTACAGTAGTTTGAAGTTTTGCTTCTATTATAACAAGAATAATCCAATGTCTTACTCTAACCTTCTTAAGTACACAAAAAATATTTCAACTTGTGAGTGCGAGTTTGTGCCACACCATCTAAGGTGAAACAAGCTTGGTGCGTTTTTCTGTACTTATTAAAATTCTATTCCAACAACCAATCAAACTCAAATGAACAGAAGAAAGATAAGAAGAAGCTTATGCTTTCCTAGTGGCCCTAGCTTAAATCAAGACAAAGATGCTCATCAATCAGTCATGCCCATTTCTCTTTTCCAGTGCATAGGTGAGCTGAAGAGGACCCTCCACAAAACAAATCACACATTTTTTATTTAGAATCAGGAAGAAACTTTGATGTAAAAAGAAGTCACTTGCGAATCAGGACCTTCTGCCACCCAACAATATCTCTGCCTTTTTGGAGCTTCCTTTTATTGGGATCATTCTCATGAAATAAAGAGGTAGATAAAGAGGTAAAAAACAGAATTCTTAAAAGCTAGAGAACTATATCCTTTGTGGGTCAATTGAAAATATAGATGCTATGCTTTTCCATAAAGTAGTTATGTTCATTGAATTCCTCATATGCTTACAATAGGTCAATAAATAAAAAAACAAAGGAAAAAAGAAAAAAAAAACTAGGCATAATCTATCTAGTAATTTTCTTAGGAAAACAAAAAGGGGAAGTTTATTAGTCTCTCAGTAGTTTGCGAGCTGGTACTGTTCTATAGTCTGTATGCTACTCCACCATAAACTCTCAACAACCTTCTATAATTACAAGTCATAGGAGTTCTTTGGCTTGGTTACATTTGCTGTTTCCTTGGTCTTATTAGACGACTTGCAAGAATCGATTCTGCAGGGGTCCGCGTCAATCAATAGCTGAACAACTTCACTCATAGTTGGGCGATGGGCTGGGTTCCTACTGGTACAACGGATGGCAATCCGTAGCATCTTGATCATCTCGTCCTTGAACGACCCTGACACTTGCTTGTCTAAAATCTCCATAGCTCCTCCTTTTGTGTCCACTTTGGTTGAAACCCAAAATATAACATTCTTGTTCTCTCCAAACTCTGCCTCCACGGGCTTCTTCCCAGTTATTAGTTCCATTAGTACGACTCCAAAACTGTAGACGTCACATTTGGTTGTTGCCTTGGGAGAATATGCATATTCTATCACATGCATCAATCAAAATGAAAGAAATTTTAGGCTGATACCTATATTAAAATTGACATATAAAATGACAAAAGTAGGATAAAAGAACATAATTAGTAATTAACTAAGTTGTAATATATATTTTTTTTAAAATTGTACATATGGGAGCGTTCCTTTTGGTGGAATCACAATGCAACTTTGATTCCCTACATAGAAAGCCAATCTTCGCCTGAACAACTCAAAGTTTTGGAGAATGCTTAACAAAATTTTGCGCAATTTCCTAAAGAATTGGTTTCTATAAATGCTGAAAGACAGCTCCTAAGCGTTATTGTGCTAATTAACCTCATGAGCTACGAAGTTATCTGCATGGTCAAAAAGTGTAACCCCTAAAAAGCTAAGAGAAATAGCTCAGGATGGGGAAGGGCACAACTTAGCAAAACTCAACGGTGTGCCCATATTAATGAGCATATATGAAAGCATAATTGATATTTCTCCATTAGTAGGTAGAACAGAGCTGGATCAGAAAATTACCAGGAGCTAAGTAACCATAAGTGCCTGCAACCTGAGTAGTGGTGGAATCTTTCCCCCCTCTTGCTTGCAAAACTTTGGCTACGCCAAAGTCTGCAACTTTTGGTTGATAATTGACATCCAGTAGGATGTTGGTCGACTTGATATCTCTGTGAATAATTGGCATCAAGAGATCATGGTGGAGATAGGCCAAACCTTGTGCAATCCCTAGTGCAATCTGATGACGAGTAGGCCAATCCAAAATGATTTTTCCTCCGTGAAGTGCCTCCCAAAGGTTTCCATTTGGCATGTACTCATAAACTAACAAGCTGCAATCCAAACTGGAGAAGTAGCAATATAATTTGACGATGTTCTTGTGCCTTATGCTTCCTAGAGTGTCAACCTCGGTTTTCAGCTCCTTGTCTAAGCACAATTGATTATCGGAAACAAAATCTTTAGCTTTTCGACTCCAGAGCTTCTTTACGGCAACAACTTGCCTGTTGCTCAACTCAATTCTGTACACTGTCCCAGATCCTCCATAACCGACTATGTTTTTATCAACCATGGCTTCAATGATTTCATGTTGATCAAAACTTAAACGGTGGAAGCTTGTAACATCATATGAGAAAATTGAAGATGACATTGTCTCCTCATGTTCCATCAAAGCTCGCTCTTTGCTAAAACAGCGCTTCAGAAACAGGACAGCTCCAACAATAACGATCGCCACTGAAATCCCAATCACCCATATGCAGTTTATCTTCTTGCGGTTGTAAGTGTGTGAGCATATTGGTATATTGGGATCGGGTGATTTGAGATAGGCAGGAACACAGAGGCCTGGATTGCCTGAAAAGCTTTCTAATAATCCTCCCTTGATAAATGACAGAGGGATAGGGCCGGAAAGCAGATTGTTCGAAAAGTTCATAGAGTTTGGCAGCAGTTCACTAAGACTTTCTGGGATACTCCCCATCAACAGATTGCTAGACAGGTCAAGAACATTGAGAGAGCCTAGTGAAGAGAGTGACCTGGGGATGGAGGAATTAAACTTGTTACCGTGCAATAGCAACAAATTGAGCTTTTTCAGGTTGCCAATTTCGGAAGGAATAGGGCCAGACAGGAGATTGTTGCTGAGGTCAAGCTTTACCAGATTGATTGCTTGAGAGATTTCTGAAGGTAGAACACCTGAAATCCTGTTGTTCTGTATGAATAGTTCTGACAAGTTCTTAGCATTTCCAATTGTCTTGGAAATTGGACCATTCAAGCGGTTGTAACCCAAATCAATAATTGAAACATGCGGAAGAGCTAGAAGTCCTTCTGGGATTATTCCCTCCAAGTGATTATAATTAACTCGAAATCGGATAAGAGAGACACATTTTGCATAACTCTCAGGCAGTTCTCCAGAAAACATATTTTCAAGGACAAGTAAGTATAGCAATTTACCTCCATTGCACACCTCTGCTGGTAGTTCTCCCGATAGCTGATTTTCTGACAAGTCCAGAAGAATCATCGGTGATGATCTCCCAAGACTTTGAGGGACTTGTCCAGTCAGAAAATTATCATAAAGGGATAACATGGTCAGGGTTGTCGAGTTTCCTATGGCACCAGGAATTTCTCCCGTGAGAGTGTTGTTGTAAAGCTGCAAGACTTGGAGTTTGGGAAGGCGGCATATAGATTCTGGTAATCTGCCATTCAACTTGTTCACAGACATGTCCAAGTCTCTGAGTTCAGTCAGATTTCCAAGCTCCTCAGGTATTGCACCATCAAGTTGGTTATAGTAAAGCTCAAGCTGTTGCAAGTTCTTCAGCTGCCCAATCTCAGCCGGAATATTACCCATTAGAAAATTTCCACTCAATTCAAGATCAACAAGCGATACCATGTTTCCTATTGATGCTGGGATTCGACCATGCACCATGCATGTTGACAACACCATGGATTTTAGCTTTGTCAGCCTGGAAAAGTTCTCTGGCAGTTGCCATGAGTTGAAACCTCCATTTTCATTGAAGTTCATCACCTCAAGATTGGTAAGGTTGGTGACAGATATTGGGAAGTCACCTGTAAAGAGGTTGTACGACAGATCGAGCAACCTCACAGATTTCATTGGTGACAAGTCTGGCAGTGTTCCTGTGAGATGTGCAGAGCTCAAATTCAGCTCTTCCAAAAGAGAGCAGTTGGTGATGCTGCGAGGAAAGATACCATGGAGGTTATTGTGGCCAAGACGAAGAATTTGCAACTCTGGCAGGTAAGAGCATACATCATCAGGGAAATGGCCGGATAGAGACCACCCGGATACATCAATCTTCACAACATACCCTTGATCATTGCAGCCAATTCCTGTGTAGTTGCAGAAAGGTTTTGCTCCACTGACATCCCAATCAGACAAGGAGTTCCCTGAGAGACTCTTTTGCATAAGAGTGAAGAACTGGAACTGGTTCTCTAAGGTTGCTTCACAGGAATTGAAAAGAGAAAGCAATAATATAGTAATGAAGGAAATATACTGAAGAGCCATCACAGACAGAGAAATATAGATATAGAAGTATATCTATATGGAGGGAGAGAGAAGAGGGAGCGGTAGTTATGCTAGTTGTTCGAGAGGAGGAGATGCAGAGGAGAGATATATAAATGGCATGATTGATGGGATTATTGGGTGCAGTAGTAACAAGCCATGATCATGAAAAAGGAGGTTCATGCAGTAGTCTACTACAGAGATAGGTACATATCTTTGCATAAAGAAGCTTTATATTTATACCCCACTAACACTAGCAGAGAATAAAATCAGTGGAAATCCTTTACACAGATGAGATGTTTGAATAATGAATAAACTGCATCTGATCCTAATTTCTGCATGCCTTCTCAGATCAAGACCTCTCGATGGGACCAAGCCTTTTAATCTTGGATTGGCATGGCCTCTAATATTTGGACAGGTAAGTTAAAACATATCAGATTTTTAAACATGAAGCTCATCTAGCTTTGGCGTGTATGATAGTTACAGTGTACCATCACACATTACATCACTGACACTTGATCAGTATATGTCCCATAAGTGTATATTGCAAAAAAAAAAAAGAAAAATATTCCAAGGGCCCATATAAGATATATTTGGCTCCTAGTTCATCGCTTTAATCAATGGTCTCATGCTTTCTATTAATTAAGTTCTTGCATTTTCTAGTTTCAGTTGTTGGTATGAAACTTATAGATCCTGACCCGAGCAACAAATTTATAAGTATATCCTTTTTGATAAAGGGAGACAGGACATGAAATTCTGGACTTTTAACTTGTGTGATTGTACTGGATACAATTAGACCTAACGCGACTATTGTTCCATTGGGCCAGTGTATAGCACAATATGTTTCTATAAGGAATACACATCTATCTAATAGGTCTCACCATGATGCATGAATAATTGTTTTAGACAGAATTGAAATGGAATTGTAATTGGAGAGGAGCTGTACCCATGTGTGCCCATGCCTTCCCTACTAGCCTCCTGGTTTGCTCAATCATCTACTAACCACCCGGTACCATATGATGTCATATTAATATCATATAAGTACATTTTTATGAACTTGCCAGGACCAAGTGAATGGAGGCCTCTAATATGTCTACATCTAAAACCTTTACGAAATGCATCGTGCTGTCTTTCTATCTCCTGTAAATGGGAGGAAGGATTACAAAATTCCTTCCTGGATGGATGTGGATAAGCTTGGAATATATCCTGATATCCAATTTGTGTTTGATGTTATGTATACTGGGGCAGGATCCAGGTCCAGGGACCATCTTGCAAGATATAAATGGTGAAGGACTAACGCAATCTAAAGTCGCCCACTGAACAGTATTATTTGCTGCTAAAGATTGAGAAGATAACTTCATCTGAAGCATGAGGAGCCACACGAAAATGGTTCCCATCATACACCACCACACTTGCACCAGCTGGTTCAAGATGATGGCATGGAGTTTTGAACATGAAGTCGGGTATAAAATTAAATCCATAAGATTATCTACCACTTCCTTATTGAAAATCCCACTATAGGTGAAAGGTACGGATTTTAAATTTTTTTTATCGAGGAGGCCATGGCCAAAGTCGCTCAGGCTCATGAATGTATACTGTATTGGTTAATCTTAGCATTTTACATTATCTTGGTGCAAATTTTTTAGCGTGACGCGTATCAACCATCCTCTCCGAGACTTACCTCCCCCCCCCCCCTTCTCTTTCCTTCTTATCTTTACTCTTGATTCGTTCCATTTCCATAATGTTAATACACATGAATCTGTTTGATTTTGTGTTCCATCAGCATTTGATGCTTTGTATCAATTTTGGACACTTTCATTTGATGTGCTCTGTTTGCTTCCACTTCTTGTGTCTTTTTCATTTACCAAGTTTGTATCCAGGAACTTAAAAGAGGGTTCTTTTTCACCTAAACACTGCTGAGTGTTAAAGCAGAAAATTAATTACTGACATCTCTTCTAATACTTATTTTTTTCTTTTCATTTTTCTTCTTGGTATATCGCATACCATGATTCTAAGTGAGACTCGTTATATATAACTGGGCTCCTCAATTATACACAATAGGTGGTCTATATATCAAATAAATAAATAAACATATTAGAGGAGATCTAGATCGATTAATGATACCATAAAAAAATAATTTAGAGCTGATCAACACTAAATGTTTCAAACAATATCCTTTATATGCTATTAATAATAACCCCGTGTTTGAAGATAATTTTCAATACCAAAAATAAAACATTGATCGTATATCATTTTAAAATTTTTTTATTTAATCACATAATTTAAATAATAAACATAAAATAAGAAAGAGGTAGAGGAGAGGGAAAAAATGTATAGATGTGAATTAGTGGGATTGTCCGACATTCAGAGTCGTGCAATGAAAATAATGTTTTTGAGTGAAAAAAAAATTGGGATGAATTTTACACCATTAGATCAAAATAGTTGAAAATTAGATTAATCTTGATCGTTATTGTGTTTTTATAAGTTTAGAATTCAACTGTCTGATTGTAATATTAAATAGATTAATAATATTTCTTCCGAAAACCGCTGAACATCCTCTCTTCAAGAATTAAAGTTATTGGAAATGGTGAAATATAAATATCTACACATTTCAAGCACATTCAAGATTATAACCGGTGGTACAAAAATTCAAATACAAGATCTGCTAAATTTAATACCAAGTTTATTTGGACGGGACGGACTGCTAGTATATGTATATGTACATTAAGGTGGCAAATGATTGTTGAGGACTGTTAAAGCCACTAAAATGACAATGCCAAAAGGGTATGGCGTAGGGGTCCTCTATACTATCCTCAAAGATGCAAGTGCAAAGCAAATATGCCCACTCTGCTTCATAGACTATTTGTCGATGCTGCGTTATGCCACATCCCAGCGCAATATAGCAGCCTATTCTCTTATTCTTCTTTTTATAAAAGAAGAGAATAGGAATTTGCTTTTTGGAGTCCATTAATAATCATGATTATGAAATTATAATAGTTAATATATATAATCCCATCATGGAATTGTTCATTGTCTCTCACTGGATCCGTGTGAATGATACAGATATATGAATAATATTATTTGAACCTAAATTGTTATAATTCATTACAGTCGTTGGATTAACAATAAGTTTCAACGTTAAATGGTGTCTACTGTCAATCTAATAACCGCAGTGAATCAAATCAATAAATTATGTTTGAATAACTTTATTTCTGATATATATTTTTTTTCAAAGCATTAATCATATGATATCCAACAACAAAAGCCATGGAGAAAGTGGAAACATGGAATTGGTATAGTTTTGAATTTACTTTTTCGTTTAAAACATGTAACGGTTGTTTCTATTATGATTATAATGTCTTACTATTATAATGAAATGTAGGTGAATCACTACTGTACTAATCAAAGCATAGAAAATAAATGAAAACTATATAATGACTCCAGACTGGATTATGAGAGATCAATTTTTGTCGTCGGTAGGGATTGACACTTTGATCTCTTGACTAGGGAAATAACGTACCTATCTATTGTTCACTAGGCTTGTCAATCATGTCGGGTAAGGTAGGTTCGTGTAAAATTTTAGTGAGNGAAATAACGTACCTATCTATTGTTCACTAGGCTTGTCAATCATGTCGGGTAAGGTAGGTTCGTGTAAAATTTTAGTGAGTTTGTGCTAAAAGACATTTTATTAAGACTACCTACTCTTCACTAGCAAGGCAGAGCTAGGTGAGTGGATATATGTCCACCCTCAAATTTTTTTATTTATTAGTATTATCTATATAAATTTGACATATTAATTGAGTATATTTAATTATGCTCACCTTACTATATTTTATTATACGAATTAGAAAATAAACATAACCAAATGATTAATAACTTTCAATCATGCTTCAAAAATGTTACATATATTTTTGGATAAGTTTTGAACATATTAGAGTTATTTAATTTTTTTTAAAAAAAACTATATGATTAATTTGTTATTATTGTATAAATATAACTGTAGGGACATGAAAATTAGGGTGATAACTTATAATTTCAAAATCATTTGGAGTTAGAAAAATCCAAATATAAATATATTAATTTATTTTTAAAAATTTAGTCGATCTAGAATTGAGTTCCCATATAAAAAACTCTTTTGTTTAAAATATTTTAACACCAGTTTGTATCATGTATAAATCATATATAACAAGTATATAAACGAATTGTGTCGTGTATTTCTTTTAATTAGTTTCATTCATATTCAATTCGTTCATTAATTATATCGTGTCGGGTCCACTCATTTTATTTACGAAACAAGTGACATAAAAAAGATTCAATCAAATGATTAAATTATCATGTCAAATTCGTGTTGTGATAACAGATCATTTTATATTTTGAGACCCCACTGTTCAGTAATATCACCACTGTTTTGGATAAAGAGTCTTCAGATAGAATTAGCATTTGAAAACTCAACCACCATATACGAACAATAGTAATGTACATGGTGAAGTTGGAGAGTATGTATATATAGGCTATTGGATATTTTTTTGCCTCACTGTCCTTTTCTTATGGGTCTAACTCCTCATGGCGTAGGTACGAGGACATTCCTTTTTGTTCATTGACTTAAATTAGATGGGCTGTGTTAGTGCTTGGTATGACCTGTGGTTCGGTCCATGCTGTAGTAAAAAACATGCTGATATCCAAAGTGAGAATGTTGTACGAGTAACGAGAAATCTTGTGAAAAATGTGATCGCTTGATTTGACTCGTGGTTCAGTCCATGTAGTAGTAAAAAACACGCATATATCGGAAAGTGAGAATGTTGTATGAGTAATAGAGAAATCCTATGAAAAACCCAATCGCCAATCTATGAAAGCAAGTACCATTTGAGCTTTATGACATAGTACATGAAGGTTAAAGCCTCGACGAGCAGGCTTAGCCTTTATAAACATGTCGATGCAACGCATTGGGGGTGTTTAGGCTTTGGGGTATTGGTCATGAGGCTGTCCGAATCCAGAGCATAAAACATATACACATTACAAACTTTATAACACAGCACCTGTGGATGATGTTATATATCCCAGTAACATCTCGCACTTCATGGGTAAATGGGATGAAAACATACCAATAGATTGTGTTTTTATCAAAACTTGATTTTCTATTCATCCACAAAACTGAGAGAAACACAAATCATTCAAAGTAGGATTGCAATGCGGCGGTTTAATTGCAATACCATTCCACCTACAAATATTCCAGTGAAAGTTTTTGATATAACAATCAAATAATGCTCCCAATGCTCCAGGTCAAACAAAACACTGAAATATACAGGGTTATTATATACAATACTAACATGATTTGGGTCATTCCATTTTCTCAAACAAGGCGACCCACAAGCGGCCCTGGATTTCAAGGTCTATCATTTCGGTGCAACTCTCTGTACTCTACTCAGACTAAATTGTAGTCATGTTCTTACGCGGCATTTGCTATGAGATCCACTCCACTTTGATCCACACCTGTAGCAAAATTCATATGAGCACCTGCATGTAATATGCCAACAACCCTCAGCTTTTTCAACATACATTTTGCAACGGGGACATTTCTGCCACATTTTCTTCTTAGCAAGTGACTTCACCATGACCTCTTCTTTCCCCGTCTTCTTTGCATTCAGTTTCTGATACTCCTTGCATGTAAAATCCGAATGCCATGGGACACAACAGAGGGCACAGAAAGATCTTTGGCATATGGGACACTTGATTTTGTTGATGCAATCGGCACAATCATTTACCAACATGGCTGAACAGTCTCTGAAAGGGCAATACAATTTCTGAGATTCGAGAATCAGGGAGTTGCATAGTGTCTCATCCCAGCAAACAAGGACCTCTCTAGGGATCATCCATCTGCAAGCATTAAAATCAAGCGTGGCATTGCAATTGACTCCTGGACAGAGAACCATTTTTACGTTCTCTTGGATCTTTGCCACAATATGTTTACTTGTGCAGTCATAACAAAAGGAGTGTGAACATCTGTTATTTTCAAACATCTGCCAACTTTCCTTGTTTTCCAAGCAAATCTCACAGAAGCTTTGTGATGGTTCTTCAGCTTCCTTTGCAATCTCCATCAGCTCGGAATTCAACATTGGTCTTGCTTGCATAGAGGAAGAAGCAGTGTTTCCCATCTGAGTAGGGAGTAGAGAGGCCAATAAAGCTTCTTGGACCTGCAATTCTTCTGCATACTTAGCATCTGATACTGCGATGATCTCACCTTTATGTCCACTGAAGGGTGCTGGGAAGTGAAAATTATTCAAATGGGTATCAGAGAGAGATTGACGTGCCAGGAAGAGAGATGACCTTTTTTTGGGTGGAGGGAAAAATTTGGTTGAGATTAGTCTAAAGTATCCTACAATGGGATGTAATTTAGTGGCTGCTTATGGAGAGTGAATTGCAACTCTAGTAAATCAATAACCACACCCTCCCCACCAGGCACCAACCCAAAAATATAGCAAACAAGTATATAGTAATAAACAATAATTCAGATTTGGTGAAGCTAATTCAAAGACACCATAACCATATAAGATATAAGGCTACAATTTTGGAGATCAGAGAGTGCTTTTTTAAAAAATGACCGACTACCCAAAGTCATTGATTCCTATATTGGGGCTATTATCTTTTTGACTGAAGTTGAGATTGATCCATTAAGTAAAAATAACTTCACCAGTGAAAGGGAAAATGGTGGGGCTCATTGGTTTTAGGAGAGAAGGCCCACAAACTATAAGTTGCCAAGTAGGATATAAATATCCATAGCCAAAGATGTAGGATTTGCGGTTTAGATCTTGCAGTTTTGCAATCGCCTCAGTTGTCACACTTCCCCCTCATTTTTTTTTTTATTTTTTTTTGTTATTATTATTATTTTTTGTACAACTATCAGGACTATTCAGACCAACTTACATGCAGCTCAACTAATCCTCTCCCCAGTCTATCTGGTCAAAGACAGGCCAAGGTTTGTCAAGATTTTAACTCAAGATGTCTAGGTTTACAGTTCGTCCCTATTACCACTTGAGCTACCCGTGAGGTTCCCCTCCTCATATTGACAAAGCACTAAGGATTCCCTGTCAGGGAAGAATATTCGAAATGCAACTTTTTGTTGCTGTGGTCCATTGGCTCATAATCTGAGTTTGATTTCGGGAATATATTGTTTGCTTTCATGGTTTCTTTTTCTTTTTTGAAGGTGGGTGAGGGGGTGGGATGTTATTTCAGTGAACCATCTCCAGGTACAAAATAGACAGAAGAAAGATGTTTTCCAATTTCAAAAACATCCAAAATTTATGATGTACACCATGATGTAGGCATCCAGTTCTCCAGTCCATACAAGGAAAATGACATCTAAGCTTAATTAATGATTAGTGTGAACCTTGAGGGGTTTTCCTGCCATAGCCATACCATAATTTTCTGTAAGCAAAATTGGAATGTTTGATCCCGTTTTCAAGCAATGAAACTTTTGTACTTTCACACATCTGATTTTGTTTCAACTTTCAATTATGCGATCTATCCACAGCCCCCCAAGAGTGAAAGTTAAAGGAGAATCAGAAACAGAGGTTCATGTTAGAAATTTGAAGTTGTCACTAACATGATAGTCCAGTTCTGAAACTGACTATAACTAGATAAAATTACTAACCCATCCAAAAATACAATCTAATTAAAAGGATGTTCTTCAATAGTTATAGGACAGTTGAATTCAACAAAGTATCTGAATCACACAAAAACTGAAACAAAAACAAATATCAAACAATGGCACTCATCCTTATTATCGTGCCACTCATAATGCCCGACCTCTTCACCATTTTTTTTTGGTCAATGGTCAGGGTTGTTTGGGCCTGCATGTCAACTAATACCCTCCCCGATCCAATCAAAGGCAGGCCATCCAAGAAAGAATTCCCTCGCGGCGCAGTGCCAAGGAGTTGCCATGTTTTGAACATTACTTACTGATGGAATCGATTCCTAAAGTAACACATACTTTTATTGAAAGAAGGAGAAAAAAAATCTAAAAAGGAAAAGAACCTTACACTTGTGATCCACTGTTTCTCAGTATCAGACCCATTGCAGTGCATGACACAGTTGTTTATTAGAGCTATAAGGTAAAAACCCCATCGGAAATACCCAGAATTTTCTTACTTTTTTCTCACCAAAAAAATAAAGATTTGGCAAAAAAGGAAGCCATTAAAATTTAAAACAAAGACTAGAAATTAATTTCTTTTTTTTTTCATCAAAATTTTTTTTTCCCGAGAAACCAATTTCTATCCAAACAAACAACGAACACAAATAAAGAAAAAAAACGCCAGTGGGTTCAAACAATACTATAATTGGAAAAACTTACCTTCGTTAATTAATGCTTTCACGGTCGACGCTTCTGTCCAAGGTTCCGGCGACTCTCCGGCCTCGGTAGAAGTAACCGACGCAACAGCGCGGTTTACACATGCTCTCTTCTTCTTCTTACAGTAAAGTAAACAAGCGAAAGAGGCAAACATGACTGCTGCTACAGAAGCCCTGGACCCACTGACACTTGTAGTACAGTGCTCGAGTCCTACACCGTAATCTGACGAAACTCGCCGGAGAAACGTAAGGAAATGATCGGACAAATTAAGAAGGGTTTGAAAACTCACCGGAATTTGAAAAATAATTGATTCCACCGACGAGTTTAGGGAATTGATAACCGGTGTTAGGCCCGAGAACATCTCGCCGAGGAAGGCGATTAGAGGCAGAGGTGGTGGAAGAAACGCGTAAAATAATGGCTTAAAAGCCTTCAACCGCACAAATGCAATTGTGAAGTGCGTGTTTGGGTGGGCACTTCGGTTGTTTTTGACTTTTTGCAATAATCTTTTACATAATTACCATCAAATCCTTATAAAGATACAAAATATAATAAGGGTTAATTATAAAATGTACCCTTAAACTATAGGTCTTATTTTAATCAACCCTCATGTTTGAATTTCAATAATTTACCCCTTTCAAGTTAAAAAAAAAAATTCAATTGACTTTTATCTCATATGATTTGAAATTCAACAAAACTACAATTAATTAATTTCACAATTAAGGGTACAATAGTAATTTCACAATTTCTATTCAATTTATCGGTCCATGGAGAACTTGAAGGAGGTAAATTTTTGAAACTCAAACCAATAGAGTGAATTGGAATAAGGCCCATAGTTCAAGGAGACATTTTATAATTATCTCATATAATAATGAAATGACCAAAAAGAATGTGCAATAACCTAAAGTTTTCTTTTAAACAGTAACCTAAAGAATGTGCAATAACCTAAAGTTGGCCCCTCAACTTTTACATACGTTGATCAATGTTACACTTCTAAGTGACGCATAGATGAAATATAGGTTTTGACGATGTGGATGTAAGATCTAGAGTGATCTTTCTTCACAAATGGGTATTTTTAGGTGGGTTTTATTCTTAGATTGAAATTGTTTGGTATTTGAGCTAAGTATCATGTCGAGTGTAGAAATAGATAAAGTATGAACTATAATCTTTTAGTTGTTTTCACCAAAAAAAAAAATGACATATTTTCAGTATGTTTTGATCCTACGTGTCTGAACAATGTTATTAAAATACGTTGTCATAGATGTCAATTGCAGAATCGTAGTGGTATCTTTTGATCTTACGTGTTCCACAACGTTATTTGTGTATAAGTTCTTGGGTTTTTACTTTTGTTAAAAATTAATTGTATTAGAGGTCCTTAAAGTATGAGTTTTATCTCATTTTGGTTCTTAATATCTCAATTACATCATTTTAGTCCATGAAATATTGAATATGTTTCTGTATAATCCTTCAAGCAGACAATGTCCAGATTGTTAACGATTTTTTATTATAAACTTGTCACGTAATACCTAAATATAAACAAAAAATAATTTTGATAGTTCTTAAATAAAATTTGGGTAGTTCTTGCTAAAAATGTGTAATATGGTTAGTTTTTAACCAAAATTGGGATATTTCATGATCAAAACTATGTAATTTGGGTAATTATTTAATTAAAATTTGAGTAAAAATTTGGTTAATAGTTATCTAAATTATTTTTTTGTCCATATTTAAGTATCACGTGACAAGTTAATAATAAAAAAATAGTTACCAAACTGGACGCTGTCTGCTTGAGGGACCATATAAAAATATTTCAATACTTTAAGGACCAAAATAATACAATTAAAATATTATCGACTAAAATGAGACAAACTTCATTTTTGGGAGACCTCCCTCTCGTACAATTAACCCTTTTGTTAAATTTTGTAAGCTGCTGTATAAGGTTTCATTGGGCACATAGGTTCTTTCCGTTTTAAATTGTCAAGTACCAGATACTAGAATTTGAATTTCACAATCCATTGGGCTCTCAATCTAGTAGTGTAGTACACAAGAATAAGAAGGAGGGGAAGGGGGGTCGGTGTTAATTCATCTCCCCCTTTAGGTTGTAGATGTTTTTGGTTTGGTTTGCACCCATAGTGTATCTTATTCATCTAGGTTTTACTTTATTGTTTAGACAATTGACTACTAATCCATTCTATTAAGGTTTTAATTTTCAAATAGGTAATTAAATTAATCTAGTGGGTACAAGGTTCTTTGATAATAATATCACTTAATACCCTTAATTTATTTTATTCTCTTAATTTTTCAATACCTACCATCTACCACCACCACTACATAATGATGGTGGTAGAAATAAAGTAGTTGTAGTGAGATAGTTAAAAAAAAAGATAAAATTAGAATAATAATAATTTTTATACTTCAATTTCTCATATTTGTTAAATAATTTGATTCAATTCAATACTTAAATTTCAATAGATACCAAATAGTTTACGAATTAAAAAATTTAACATTTAATTCTCAATATTCAGCTATCAATTTTATTAAACACTACCTAAGTTACATACATAATCATGCATTAAATAGTGGTTAGTGGCACTCCCCGAACCCCCTTTCAATGAAAACTCTCCATCCTCGGCAAACTCATCAACATACCCCTTTGGATATAAATACCAAGGCCCCTCTTTTTTTAATCAATCTCCCATTTGCTAAGAAATATATAATTTTTCAAGGAGTAAAAGATTTCATTAGAATAGAATAGTCAAACTCTCAAAATAATAAATCATTATAACTCATGCGTTGTTATTCATTTTTCAAGTGTCTTTTTGTTTTATTGATTTCACTGAAGCATCCAGCAGAGCCGCCAGGCTCCACCTCATGAGACCGTCTTCTCCGTCACACACTCACAAAATTAGTACCCACAAGCCTTCAACTCCTCCTCGGTTCAAACATATCTCTGACATTTTGTAAATATCTAGATACTTGAGTGATGAGACTGGTAAAACAAGAAACACATAGGACAATTTGGTGGGTGATCCAAAAACCATGAGTCACTCTCTGGTGATGGCAACTTAGTATGTTTGCGATGAGAGAGAATGTGTTGGTGTACCAATCAGAATTGAAGGGAGGAGGACAATAAAGTGATTAGCTTGCTTAGGTAAATAGAAGTCCTTTCAAATAAGTAAGTGATTACTCTTTTTCTATCTTGATGCAGACCTTTCTCCATTGATGATCCTTTTGGACTTGTTCACTGCAATTACCTGATTGCCGCTGCTTGATAATACTAATGTATGCCTTGGTTTTTTCAAAGTTNACTGCAATTACCTGATTGCCGCTGCTTGATAATACTAATGTATGCCTTGGTTTTTTCAAAGTTTTCCTATAATATTATGTGAAAGTTCCAAAGTAGTTATGCATTTGAAACAACAAACGTGACATGTCAAAGTCATTATACCACAATTTTGCTATTCATGTGAACCTATTTTTTCATCTATATTTTTTTGTTAAATTCTTGTCGATAATGTATTATTTTGTTGAAAAAGTTAAATTTTCAATTTATAAAACAAAACAATGAAATTTTTATTTATTTTAATCCAATGATAAAAAAATACATCTCAATTTTTTTCTCACTAAAAAAATCATCTTCTCTGTTGCATAACACTCAAGGTTAAATAATTTAATCAACATACTTCTCAATAATCCATGCGATTCATTATTTTTTATTGTTCACGTTAATTTAAAATTACGTAATTAAAGAAAAGAAAAGAAAAAATAAATTGCTCAAAAGATAAATAAAATGACTTTTACTATTTATAGTTAAGATCTCTTTAAATTTTATTTTAAAGTTAATTCAACGACTAATATNCCACCACCCCCACCACTCCTACCATCACCTCCATTGTCACTATCACTCTCACCACCCCTTTTATCGCCCAATCACCACCATCCCCACTACCCCACAATTACTATTACCACCACCGTCACTTCCACCACCGTCACTTCCACCACACTACCACCATCGCTACTGTCTTACCATTATTTCTACCACCATCGTCATTATTCTACCATCACCCCTACCATCACTACTCTTACCATCTCCCACCACCATCACCACTACCACCACTGTCGTCACTGTCGTCATCCCACCACCGCCCACCATCACTACCATCGCTCACTCCCATTATAATTAGTGCTTAAATTTTTTTTTTTCTCTTTCTATATTTGTGATTTGATTTTAAATATGAATATAAATATATTTATTGTTGACTAATTTTTTTTATTTTGTACCTTTAAATACAGATAATAATTAATTTTTTAATATTGCAGAGTAAATTCAGGCAAAAAATTATTTGTTAACATGTAAATATAATGAATTTCACTTAAATTCATATTTAATGATGAAAAATGAAAAAAATAAAATAAAAATATCTGAATAGAACAAATTCCTTTCGATTTGACATGCTCATAATAATAGAGGGGAGAAAATTGAAGTTGGATTGTGACGAATAAAAAACATGACATATTTTTCTAATCAAGGATGAATTCGAAGGAATTTATGCTTAAAATAACCCAAAACGAAAACATAAGCCCCATTCGAGTACTGTGCCATTAAACTCGATTAATTTATAATATAATGTACAAAAAATTATTATAACGAAAAAAACTAAATATTACCCTTGATTAAATGAAGAAAATATCTAATTTTAATCGATTAACTGAATGTAAGTTTAAATTTCATTGACGTGAATTTATGGATTTACTCATGTCTGAACTCAAATTGAGTCCAAAACAAACTTAATCATGTTATATAGGAATCACGTTAGTAAATAAGTTTCTTTTTTGGTAAGATATTGTTACAAAAGATAACGAAAATTCAAATTTACGAGCTCAAAGTTTAACAATAAGATGACGATTAAATCAACGGTTAACCTCACACAACTCAGTTCATTATCACTTGCGTTGCTTAGTGTTTCCTTCAAGTTATATGCACTGACCAAAATCACACTCTTTATTGTTTGCTTAGTCTTTCATCACGTGAGAACTCAATACTAATTGTCTCGTCGTGGATTTTGGGCAACCTAAAGTTTGTACGACACTTTGCGCCACCACGTCAGCTACATTTCTTTAATGTTGGCCTTATTGGGGATAATAAGTCTATGATAATCCCGAAAAAANAATAAGTTTCTTTTTTGGTAAGATATTGTTACAAAAGATAACGAAAATTCAAATTTACGAGCTCAAAGTTTAACAATAAGATGACGATTAAATCAACGGTTAACCTCACACAACTCAGTTCATTATCACTTGCGTTGCTTAGTGTTTCCTTCAAGTTATATGCACTGACCAAAATCACACTCTTTATTGTTTGCTTAGTCTTTCATCACGTGAGAACTCAATACTAGTTGTCTCGTCGTGGATTTTGGGCAACCTAAAGTTTGTACGACACTTTGCGCCACCACGTCAGCTAGATTTCTTTAATGTTGGC